AGCCAGGCCCCTTGCGCGTGGTGAACTGGCGCAGCGGGGGGGGATCCAGAGACTGCCAAAGTGGGGGCAGGCGAGGGCCTGTCCCCCGTTCCCCACCCAAGGCAGGGCCGGATCCCTCTGCCTCTGGGATTCTCTGCAGCCACGGGGGAATCCGGACTGAGGGCACCTCTATTTGGAGTGGGAGTGTTGGGATGGGGCCCTGTTAGCTAATTCAGATTAGTTTTCCCCGTGTGGCCGCTGCCGCCTCCTCCCCTCATCTCCACCCTCCAGAGCCGGATGCTGTCCCCTACCCCTGGGAGATGCACAGGGGGCTGGCAATGGCAGGCTGGGGGGCAGTGACCCACTCTTCCAGCTGATCCCTGGTAACACCTCCGTCAGGCAATGGCTGCTCCCCTGTGTGAGAGAACCCACGGCTCCCTGCCCCAGACACAGCACTCCCTCTCCTTGCAGAGCCACCGAGACGGGGCCCAGGATGGCAGGCCAGCAGGGGCATGGTGCCACTTTCTGCCCAGAGGGCTCTGCCAAGGCCCAGTGCTTCAGTCCTGGCAGTGCCGTGAGCCTGGGTCCCTGCAGCCCGGAGTGTGGCCTGTTCTCTTCGCCCGTGCCCGAAGCCCGCTGGCTGAGCTGCCCAGCGCCGCAGGCCGAGTCCCCGACCCACGAGAACCTCACGCTCGAGGAGCTGCTCACGCCCGTCACGGAGAAGCTCAAGTACCTGCTCAAGAAGGCAGAGGATTTCCAGACGTACCTGCTCTACAGGTGGGAGGGGAAGCCTGGCACAGGGGGCAGTGGTGGGAGGCAGGAGGAAGAGCAGAGGCTGGCATGGCGAGGGGACGTGGGGGGCACCTGCAGCATGGTGGGGGGCAGCAGGCCCATTCACCGCAACCAGCTCCGGAGTGGGCTGGAGCTGCTGTCACTGGGAATGCAGGGGAGCAAGAACCCAGGCTGGGTCTGAGCCTGACGTTGCTGGGCAGGAATAACACCCCCGGTAAAGTGGACACCCCCGCGCTGGGCAGTGCCATGCTGGGGTGCCAGCCTGGGGCCAGGGGCTCATCTGGGCTTTATCCCCCATGGAGCCCCACCTGGTGTCTGCCCTCCAGGGACAAGGGGGCAAGTGCTCGCTTCTGATCTGACCCAGCTGGGTGTGGAGGTTCCAGCTGCTACTTTTGCCCTCTGGAAGAGGCCAGTGTGGACCAGCGGTCGGTTCCCCAACTCCTGGTAGGGGGATTGCAGGCGCCCTGAGCCCCAGTGCAGAGGGAGGGTGGTGTCGGGGCTATCGGGTAGGTGTGGTACCCCTGGAGACGCGGGTCCCTGCAGGGAGCAGGTTGTGGCTCAGCAGGGGGTATTCTCCTCCCTGCTGACTCCGGTGCCCAGCCTGGCCCTGCTGGGGCCCCAGGCTGCTAGCTGGGTGCGCTCCCCTTGCAGCCGGGGCAATGTGCCACCTCTCGTGACTGGGTGGCTGCCGCCTTTCCAGCAGAGACAGAATGCAGAAGGAGCAGTTTGCTAAGGCCGTGCCCACCTTCCTGCAGATGTGCCAGCCCTACTTCGAATACCTGGAGTCCACTGCCCGCAGCTACAACTCTGGCCTGGGTGCCCTGCAGGCGTCCGTGCGCAAGAGGGTGAGCGGGCAGGGGGAGTCACAGACTCCTGCATGGGAGCTGGGGGCAGTGGGGTGCATCTGTCCCACATGAGGGGCAAAAGGCCCCCTACCCTCTCTACTCCCCTGTTAAAGGTGTGGGATGGAGTAGAGGGGGTTGGGAGATGGCCAGGATTCCTGGGATCTATTCTAGCTCTGGGAGGGGAAGGGAGTCTAGTAGTTAGAGCAGGGGGGTCAGGTGTCAGCCAAGATAGCTCTGAGCTGGGATCCAGGACAACTGACACTACCTTGCATGTGACAGGCTACAGGAGCAGAATGGAAAGCTGAGAATGATATGCTGGGCTAGGGACCGTGGGGTGGGGTGGGGTGGGTTGGGCCTAAGGGCATGCCTGGGGAGGGATGGGCAGGGCTCAGCTGGGCTATCATCTGCATCACTGTGGGGCCCCCCCAGGTCCTGCCTTCAGCGTAGTGCCGTGTCCAGCCCCGGGGGCTCCTGGTCTCTCTCCCCTGCAGCTGCTGGAGATCTCGGAACAGCTGGCGTTGCGGCTGGAGCAGCTGGTGCTGATGTACGCCTCCTTCAGCTTCGTCTCCCTGGAGGACACCGACCCCTTCAAGTACGGGAGGGTGGGGGCTTGGCAGGGAGAGCCTCCCTCTGCAGTCAGCACAGGCTCCTGGACAGCACTAGGGGGGCGCTGTGCTGCAGGGAGCAGGGCAGGGGACATGTCGGGCGCTCTTTCCTGATCCCCATACCCCTGTGTGGTGCTAGGGGGTGCTGTGCTGCAGGGAGTGGAGTGGGTGCTCAATAGGGGGCGCTCTGCCTTTGCAGTCAGACCCAATGCCCCTGTGCAGCACTAGGGGGCGCTAGGCTGCAGGGTAGCAGAGGAGTCCGGCCCATCCATGGCTCCCCCTGGTGGCGATGGGGCTTTTACCCCATCTGTTTGGGTTTTCTCCTCTCCCCCAGCGTCTCGTGTTTCTTCTGCGGCCGTTTCTGGCTGAGCGAGTGGCGCCAGCTCTCCGTCTTCCGCTTCTGCATCTCCGCGCCCTACACGGCCGCCCGCCTGCCCCGCAACCTCTACAAGAAGATGCGCTGGAACCTGGACGTCCTGGAGGAGGGGGCGAGCGCTGGGGGACGGCGCCGGGCGCACCGCACTGAGTAGTGAGCTGCTGGGCACTGGGGGGGGCGGCCGGACCTGGGACCAAGGGAGATTTGATGTTGAACTGCAGCTACTCAGCCGAGCCCCAGATTGGGGGTAGCCCCACTCACGTCCTTCCTGGCCTGGTTGGCAGGGACCTAGGGGTGTCTGTGGTGGAAGGGAGCAGGGAGCTCAGATACAGATGGGGGAAGGGTTCCCTTTTCGGTACCTGTCGAACTCCCCCCTGGACTGGCCCCCTTCCCTCTACCGGGCATCTCCTCCTCCCAACTCCAATTTAGCCCCCCTCCCTGCAGGCTCCTCCCCTGCCCCAGATCGTCTCCCAGGGCCTTCGTCCCCCTCAGATCTCCCCTGCGCCT